AATTTACACAACAAAATTTGAATATCAATTCTGATCCCTACAGAATTCTCTGTATTGAATTCATTTATTTCCCTTGGATCAGTGTTCAGCATATCATTCTCAAAGATTTTAGAGAAAATCAATTATTTTCGCCAATATAAGCTTTTGAATAATCTACATACTTACCAAACCCTCAACTACACAGAGGACGGAATAAATAGTTAATTCTTCCTCAGTTTCATGTATTTGGAAATCGTGTTCAGAAAAGTTCTACCACACAAATCCTTCAGTCAAAAATAAAAAATGCTATACCCTGCACATCACAAACACTAGTCAAATAAGTACAATTTACGATTTAACAACCTAGAAGACTTCTAAAAATTAACAAAAAGAAACTAGTAAACACATGAAAGAGTAAATTAAAATCAGAAATAGGTCTGTAATCATTAAAAAAAAAAAAGTCTAATGGAAATTTTATAAAACTTGAAGAGAGAGACTTACTTCGGCTGGGATCGAAAGGAGTTAGCGGGGTAGAAGGCGGCTGTAGGGGAGGTGGGGGATCGCCGGGTGATATCGACTTTAGTGGAAGAGGAGGAAGCGGCGGCGGCGGAAGAGAAATGGGTGTCGGATTCGAATTTCAGTCATTAGAGGGTGGTCTAGGTTTAACAGTACAAAATAATAACAATAATGGAAATACTTCAATTTGAGAACAGAGAATATGGATTTTTTTTTCTGCGACAATATTGATTGAAGAGGTGAAAACGCCGTGTATATATTCTTTTAGCTAATATAAAATGTAGAAACTTGATTTAAAAAAATTATATCTTTGAATATTCAGGATCAACGATTCTAAATTATTGATTATAGAGAAGAATAAGGCCTCTGAACATTCTTTTTTTTTTTGTTCAGCTTGTAAGAAAACCAAAAAAATAGGAAGGATGAATAAAACAGAGAAAACCTTGAATGCAGATTTGTGAGAGAACTTGTCTTTTCTGAATTAATTCTCGTGTGTTAATTTGCTATACGATGCTACTGGTATATATATACAATACAAAGGAATATTTCCTCACCAACTCTATACAACTTGCCATACAAAAAAAGGTCTCTGCAAAACTAATTCTGCTGAAATAACAGAATGCAAATGAGCTAGCATATTCCTTAAGCTTCTCTTCTATCTTCCAGAACCTTCTTCCTAGAGGCTGTGGTCCAGCTTGTCATCCAAGTGGACTTGAGATGGATGCTGACATTGTTGATCACCAGGCTGCAGTTGAGATTTATTTTCTAATAGCCTCCTTGCAAGGTGGATAGTAGATATCTTCTACTCCTATCTTGAACAAATGAGAGTAAAAGCTTGAAGAACATAATGCTTTAGTTAAAAGATCTGCAATTTGCAGTCCGTTGCTAACATGTTTAGTGACTACACTCCCATCCTGAATTTTGTCCCGCATAAGATGGCAATCAAGCTCAATGTGCTTAGTTCTCTCGTGAAAGATAGGGTTTGATGCAATATAGAGCGCAGCTTTGTTATCATGGAATATAGTTGCTGGTTGCGGGTTTTGATCTGCAAATCACATAGCAAATATACAATCCAAGTTAGTTCACTGCACAGATTTGTCATTGCTCTGTACTCTGATTCTGCAGAAGATCTAGACACAATCCCCTGCTTTTTGGATTTCCAAGACACTAAAGAAGATCCAATAAACACACAATAACCAGAAACTGATCTCCTTGTATCTTGGCATGCTCCCCAATCTGAATCACAATAACCTATTAATTGTAGGTCTGTTTGAGCAGGATAAAATAAGCCCTGTCCTGGTGCCTTTTTGATGTACCTTAAGACCATGTGAGCTGCATTAAGATGAGGTAACCTAGGGTTGTCCATGAATTGGCTTAACAATTGTACTGAGTGAGACAAATCAGGTCTTGTTATGGTTAAATACAGCGGCCTCCCAATCAGTCTCCTATAAATTAATGGATCAGAAAGGAGTTTACCTTGGTCTTTAGAAAGCTTGAGATTTTGATCAAGTGGGACTCGAGCTGGTGCGGACCAATTTTACCTGAATCTACCAAAACATCAAGTGTATATTTTCTTTGGCATATATGAATGCCTCGGTCAGACTTGCCACTTCAATTCCAAGGAAATATTTCAGTTGTCCCAAGTCCTTGATTTTGAACTTATCACGAAGAGAGGCATTGAGAGTACTAACATAATCCAAGCAATTACTGGCCACTATAATATCATCGACATATACAGAATGGCAGTAAAGGAATATCTTGTTGTTCTTGTGAATAAGCTGTAATCTGCTTTAGATTGTGTGAAGCCTTGCTCAATAATGAAGTTTAATAGCTTAGAGTACCATTGTCTAGAGGTTTGTTTAAGTCCATACAAGCTTTTCTTCAACTTGCAAACTTTTGATGCATTGTTATTGAGGTAGCCTGGGGGTAATTGCATGTACACATCCTCCTCTAAATCTCCATGTAAAAAAGCATTGTTCACATCAAATTGGTACAAATGCTAACTCTTCATGGTTGCCACAGCCAACAAAGTTCTTAGGGCAACAGAATGCACCAAGAATATATGAAGTTAAGCAAAGTATAATAGCTCTAGTCCAGAATCAAGATGATGTAAGTGTTTATTTCTTGTAACTTAAGGCTCTCTTGGATGAATTAATGAATTATGAGGCAATACCTAGTTGTTCTTGTGGGGGTTAAAAACTGTATTGTAAAACCAACATAGAGATTGGGTTATGAAATTTCTAATGGGTTTGAACGATTCATACAAGGGACTTAAGGCACAGATTTTGTTGATTAAACATTTCCCTAGTTTGAATGAAGTATACTCCATCATACAACAAGACGAGAAAAGGAGGCACGAGAAAAGAAGGCAGATATCCTCCGATGGAATTATCAGTGAATCCATGGCATTTTTGACAAAAGGTAATAATTGTTGGATTTCACTTGTTTGGTCACATGCGTTATCAAGTTGACACAATTTAGAAGACAAGACAAGCAAGGGAACAATGATCGCATTTCACACATATTTGAGGATGAGATAAACAGTACAATACCTCCATTTTATACATATTTGTCACAACTTTTGTTAAAAGACGAAGTCACAATCGTTCAATGTATTAATGGTCATAATTTTACACAAATGAGGGATAACTAAACCACTTTTCCAAACCATAGCATGTATTTTCAAATTTTCAATGCTCAGAGAATAAGAATCCATATATACTAATCACAATGACTACAATAAACCCCTTTTTAGTGGGGAATTAAAATTAGATTTTTAGTAAATTTTGATAATAGTCGAAGAAATGTGTTATTGAAAAATTATGAATACCAGGAATGCGTGTTTAAAATTAATTTTTGGATTTTGCTACTTGTACATAAAAAATGTACATAATATGATGTGAAGGGAAAATGTTGGATAAAAAAGTTGATTATATTTTAAACTAACAAATGGAAGAGTGTCATGTAGCATTATGTAAGTTATTATATAAATTTTAATGTATATATAGTAAGATCCTTAATTTTTTACCTTGATTTAGATTTAAAATATAGATTTTAATCTCTATCAAATATGAGGTAACTCGAAAGTTAATTTGGAAGAGATTATTGAAAGAAGGGAAATCTTTATCTTTGAAATTAGAATCCGAAAGTGCCAAGTAAAATACAATCTTTAATAAAATAATAATGATTATGATTTCATATATTTTAAAAATGATTGGTGGATAAAAAAGACACATAGTTTAGTAAAAAGAAAAATAAAAACAAACATTGCCCGTACAAGTAATTATGTATGACATTAAGATAATCACAATTTTAATAATACTTGATTTCGTGTGATAGCTAGTATTTACTATGATGGTCCACTTGCACTAACAAACAAAATAGCTCCAAATATTGCGGTACTTTGCCCACTTCTTCACTTCTATGGAATGTGTGCTCGGCTGGAAAATTTTGCTTCAAGCCTAATTTTTCCCACTTAATAAAAGTGACATTCGATTGATATTTTAGCAGAACGATGCACGTTTTGAATTGCGTGGTTACTAGTAAAAAGTTTAGTAGCGTGATGTACGTTTTCGAGTTATTTGATATGTGCATGCATGATGCGTGTTCAACATATAAATTCATAAAAATGTTTTTAATTTCAAGTATACATTTAGTTAATAATTAACTTAAGTCCTGTTTTGATTTCATTTTTTTCAAAATTCATTTTTGACCACACATGCTCCCATAAAATAATATTATACGAAAATCCAATTTTTTTCTTATTTTTTCTAAATACCCAACTATTGCCTAAGTTATGCATTTGAATGAAACAACTGTAAGGGAATAAGCCTCAAGAAACAAGCGGAAGCAATCAAACATTCACTAAGAAAACCGAACAATACACACAAAGTATCATCTATTTTTCTTTAGGCTCAGAAATAGAACATTTTACACGTCTGTACAATATAGAATCGACCACAAAAGCCCCAAACCCTAAGACAATAACCCCAAGCAGCTACTACAATGGACTCGATCGAACACATCAAACTACAAGTCGAAACTTCCCCTCAATCATAGAGATAATATCACAAAGAACAATGATTAAAATCAGGTGTTCTAATCCTATCACAAAGACCAAAATAGAGAAGGAAGAAACGAGCAGAATCGCAAAGGCAAAAAACCCCATAAGCCTTTTCTCGCACACAGCAGAAGGAAAGAATGAGAAATCACCACTCAAATGGACGGTCAAGCTGGTATATAAGGACAACCCAACAACCGTAGATCTGATCCTCATCCGATGGTCCAGAGCAACAGACTTGGGTAAGGCTTGGGCTTGGGTTTTGGTCCTGAATCTTGATCGTGTTATTGGGCAATGGCTGAAACTTATT